GGTTGTTCAGAGAAGTGGGAGATGCCTCATCCCTGGAAACATTCTAAGTCAGGTTGGATGGGACTCTGAGCAACTTGATCTCATTGAAGAAATCCCTGGTCACTGCAGGGGGTTGGATTAGAAGGCCTTTAAAGGTCCTTTCCCACCCAAAACATCTGGTGGTCCTATGCTGGTCTTCCACTTTAATTACATAGTCCTGGATTATCTTCAGCTCTCTTCTGCTAGGAGAGAAGAAAGAAGTTCTTTCTAATGGTATTTTCTCCCTGATGGAAGGTCCTTTACTTGTTGTCTTGGCTCCTCACCACTTCTGTTCATCTGCCTGGGAGCTGCTGAATCCACCAATCATTTTAAAACTGGACTCTGCTTGGAGTAAGTTCTGTCATAAAATATAATAACTGTCCTGCTGTTACACCAGGAGCAGTCCTGTACTGGGAGGGGGAACTGGGAACTACAGCACCCCAGTTTCAGGGATGGCACTTCTGCACACTCTTGAGAAGCTGGAGCACCAGTGCCTTTGGGAGATGCCGTGTTCCCCAGCACTGGGAGGTGGATGACGAGCTATGGCTGTGGTTGTCTCCAGAAGAGAGGCTAGAAAGCACCAGCTGTGAGACTGGAGAGTGTGGAGGCATCGGGCATGGCCTTCAGAGGATGCTTCATCTCAGGAACTCAATGAGGTTTTCTAAATAGATTTCCCATCTTATGAACATAAACAGCTCAGAGCCGCCTAATGAAGACAAAACACCCTTTAAAGTGGGAATCATGGCTCCGGTTTGGGCCATAAAGTCTCTCAGAATAGCTCTCTGTCATGGAAAAATATTGCGGGTTGGAGGAATCTGTCAGGGAGGATGGAGGCAGCTGACGCAGTTCGTAGAGTCACAGAATCATAGAATGATTTGTGTTGGAAGGGACCTTAAAGATCATCTAGTCCCAACCCCCTGCCATGGGTAGGACCACCTCCCACCAGACCAGGTTGCTCCAAGCCCCATCCAACCTGCCCTTCAACACTGCCAGGGATGGGGCAGCCACAGCTGCTCTGGGCAACCTGGGCCAGTGTCTCACCACCCTCACAGCAAAGAATTTCTTCCTAAGCTCTTATCTCAATCTCTCTTTTTTCAGCTTGAAACTGTTTCCCCTCATCCCATCACTCCCTGTCCTTGTGAAAAGTCCCTCCCCAGCTTTCCTGTAGCCCCTTCAGGTACTGGAAGGTGCTCTGAGGTCTCCCTGGAGCCTTCTCTTCTGCAGGCTGAACAATACCAACTTTTTCAGCCTGTCTCCAGAGCAGAGCTGCTCCAGCCCTTGCATCATCTCCATGGCTTCCTCTGGACTCACTCCAACAGTTTCATGTCCCCCTTATGTTGGGGACTCCAACTGTTTTCCATATAGGCCATGGGAGGGATGCTAACAGACCAGGTCCAGCTCTTCCTTGAGCCTGGACATCACTGTTCGGTGCTCAGGTGGGATGATCCAGCCTTCAAGGTCCACCTTGGCATTCCATCCTGGGGATGCTATGAGGATGCTATGAAACCTCCTTGGCTCTCCTGTCACACCTAGCTCCCTTCCAAGGTGCCACCTGTTTTGCAGAGGACAGAACATTCCTCTTCCTTGCCCGTGCAAGGAAGTCCACAGTGAGTGAAGGAACCTCCTGGAAGCCATTGAAGCCCTTACATATATTGTAGCCAAGGCCAACCCTATAGAAAACACAAGTCTTGATGGGCTTCAGGCCACTGGACAATGGAGAAAACAGCTCAAAGCTGGTCCAGGTCAAGTGGAGATGGGGTTGATGGGCACATAAAAGGAGTGGTGAGCCTGCTTGAGCCACATAAACCCCTCCAAGATCTGGAACAGCCACCCCCAGGCTGGAAAACCTTCTCCCACTGCTTTTGCACCCAAAACTGGTAGCTGCAGGACATAGAGATGCCCACTGCCTGGACAGACAAGCCACTGCTGTGCCAAGAAGTGGGTTTTTTAAAACCAAATCCCCTTTTATCCCACAGAAAGACAACCCCAAATCCTCAGCACCCCCTGGAGCACGAAGCCCTCCCAAGCCTGAGCCTGGGAAGTGACAGGTCCCATAAAAATCAACCCCTTGCCGAGCCCACTAAACCCACCAAACCACCGCTGCTGGCTGGTACCCGGGTGAAGGACTTTCCACCCCACCCCTCCCCCTTCCCCTTTCCCAGCTCCAAAGTTACAAACGCAATTAGCAGCGGGGCCCGGGAAACTTTTTTTCCCGGCTGCGGTTCGCCAAGGAGATGCTAATCCCTCCATCCGCCCCGCAGCGATGCCCATCGCTTGCTCATCTTTTGTTTGCTACCTGGAACGGTCCTTGTCCCCCTCCTCCCAACCCTCCCCCCC